TCAGTCTATGTTCCATTACTGGCCAGTCTATGTTCCATTACTGGTTAGTCTATGTTCCATTACTGGTCAGTCTATAGAGCAGTCATCAATGTCTGTGCAAGGCATTGTAACTATACGCTAAGTCGCTGTGATGTGAAAAAAATAACAGATCATTATAATTACTATATGTATCGTTACAACCTTATAAGTATAAACAAATGTGGAAGCTACAAGTCGTATTAATATTTAAACACTTATCGGGTCAGTCTATGTTGGAACAACAAGTCATGCTGTAATTAAGCCAATATAAAAACTCCAAATCATCAATATATATACATATGCTCAGAGGGTAAGCAAACCTCCAGTACAAGGACCGAACGGAATGAGAGACTGCAGACAGCTCTAACGTCACAAAGTAGGTAGTATTAAAAACCATTAAATTACTACGTTTTACTTTACTCGCATGGCTGAGTTAACACAGTAAAGAGGTCATATTGATCGGCGGTAGAAAACCCTATCTGCCCGCGGGGTGTTACTTTTGTTGTAGATTATAACCATGACGATTTGGCCACCACAGATCGTGATTCTTTTGAAAGCAGGTTTAAGGCATACATCTTTATTATGGAAATACTGAACATAGGATGTTGTTCCATATAAATGAGAAAAAAAACAAATCTTTGTATATTTCAGTCTAATTTTGCGATTGTACCGGCGAAGCACAACTTAAACCCGGTAGAATGGCCTGTCAAACACAAGTATGTAAAGAAGAATTTCGATGTGGAAATTTTGGATTGGGCCATAAACAGCCTCGCCTATTTGTGACGTCACAGGTAAGACGCAGTTTATCTAGAGTATTTAAGAATTCGTGTAACGCCTTAGAATGAGTATATGGTATGGTAATGTATTATTCTGATATTCCATGTGAAAAGAATGTTCCTTACATCAAGTATTGATAGGTTACATCGTAGAATATGTACATATTTACACCTTTAAGTGTGCGGGTAAGCATGTATTGATAATAAAGGGCGCAAACCAGGTTACTTTTAAACATTCAGAAACATATTAGTATATAGTTCGACTTTTCTTTATTTATAGCTACAGCCATTTATATTTGCAAACAATATGAAGGACCTTTCATCAAGTTTACTTGGTGATGTGTATGGTGATGATTTATTACTTCTTTTTTTGAGTAATCCGCAAAAAACAATACAATATCTAATCGCTTCACCAGATATACATGAAAACAGGCTTAACGATATCTTAAAGCGATTAATACGCTTCGCGGAAAACGACTAGAAACTGAAGGACTAGCTATTGGGGCAACAGTATACCATGTCAGTTTTCATAGATTTTTTTAGTGTAGTTTTGATTTTCTGTAATTTTAAAGGAGACAGCTGTTATGGTTGATGTTATTCTTAATTCGTCCTGTCCGAAAGTGACGACTTGTGCGATACCCACAAACAAAAAATACAACTGCTTCGAGGTGAGAATCATCTCTTAGTTTCGATTGGTCAGTTCTGAGATAATCTTAATTTCTCTTTTGTTAGTTAAACGATAAGGGACTAATGACCATTACAGACGTGCACAGACCGAAGTCAAAATGTCTAACTGAGTAGATATTACTATAGAAGGATTGTGAGGCCAATTAAGACACAAAAGGTACACAAACGTACATTGATCTTAGCTTAACAGAAAATTCACAGCGTCAGTATAATCTGATAACTGTGGAAGTACAAGTTTCACAGAGATAACACTAAATGTTACAATTATACAAGAATTCATAGGTTCATTATGAATTGATATAAGAATTCTCAAATACAAAAATGTTAGAAGATAGAAAAATCTTTTAAATTCAAAATAAATTTGAATTTGATTTCACAAAGAAAAATATAAGAAAACACTAATTTTCCTTATGATATAGCATACACATTTCATTGTGGGAGGTATATACAGTAAAACGGAGCATAAAGTTCGTTGTATTGGCAGTCTGCCACGGTTTCTTACCTACCCGATATCCAAATGACTTCACAAGTGTCCCCGTGAATGATGAGTGATAATTAATCTCCATAATGTCGACGTTTCCATTAAAAAGGGTTTTAAAAAACTCTTTAACGCATGAATTATCACCAAATATGTGAAGTATCAGAGCACAATAAGTAGGTCGAGACAAGACTAAATACTACACGCGTTAGGCAAGTGTAAATCGACCTTTATTTGATGTTTGTATCTCGGCTAAAAGTGGGAGATTTCCATAGTAAACGTTTATAATAAAAACAACAGTATCCGCACAACAGTCGTTTACCGAACTTGTTTCCAATAAAATCAAAAAGGTAGAAAAAATCTTATGAACTGGATTTTTGTTTCAGATTTTTTTCAATTAATTCACTTGACTTCACGCATCCAAGATGAACTTTTATTTTACCTTAGTTTGTCTTTGGTTACAATTTAACCGACTGGATAGGCAATTACAACAGCATATTTCATATAGCTGACTACTGTTCTTTTATGTAATTATGTTGTATTAATGTTTCATAGTGACTGTTTATCTCTGTTATATGTTGTGATAAGTAAGTGTTCATGTTTCTATCTTGAAAAAGGGGCGGATTGCCCTGAACATTTGACAAATTTCTTTGCCTGTACTCTCGTTATTATTTCTTTGCCTATACATCTTTTAAAGTAATAAGCGCCAGATCGAATCCAGTGCCAATATTTACTCATACTGTCGTTATTACTTATGAGGCCTATGCATATATATGTATGGTTTCATAGCTTTATATACACACACCAATAGCAACCCAATAGAGGTATATGTATGCACCAAAAGATTTCGTGTGGTTGTATATGGAAACGCCTTATATCAATGCAGCACAGATAATATATACCATTTTGTACCTGGGAGCTAATAACTACCACTTTGTACCTGGGAGCTAATGAATACCATTTTGTACCTGGGAGCTAATGAATAACATTTTGTACTTGGGAGCTAATGCATACCATTTTGTATATGGGAGCTAATGAATACCATTTTGTACCTAGGAGCTAATGAATATCATTTTGTACCTGGGAGCTAATGAATAACATTTTGTACCTGGAAGCTAATGAATACCATTTTGTACCTGGGAGCTAATGAATACCATTTTGTACCTGGGGCTAATACCACCATTTTGTAATAGGGAGCTAATGAATACCATTTTGTACCTCGGAGCTAATGAATACCATTTTGTACCTAGGAGCTAATGAATACCATTTTGTATATGGGAGCTAATGAATAACATTTTGTACCTGGGAGCTAATGATTACCATTTTGTACCTTGTAATTAATGAATACCATTTTGTACCTTGGAGCTAATGAATAACATTTTGTACCTGGGTGCTAATGAATACCACTTTGTACCTGGGGCTAATACCACCATTTTGTAACTGGGAGCTAATGAATACCATTTTGTAAGTTGGAGCAAATGAATACCATTTGGCACCTGGGAGCTGATGAATACCGTTTTGTACCTGGGAGCTAATGAATACCGTTTTGTACCTGGGAGCTAATGAATATCCAGTGGATCCAGTGCCAATATTTTATCATGCTGTCGTTATTACTTATGAGGCCTATAGATATATATGTATGATTTCATAGCTTTATATACACACACCAATAGCAACCCAATAGAGGTATATGTATACACCAAAGCAAAAACAAAAGATTCCGTGTGGTTGTATATGGAAACGCCTTATATCAATGCAGCACAGATAATATATACCAGTTTGTACCTGTCAGTTAATGAATACCAGTTTGTACCTAAGACATAATGAATACCAGTTTGTACCTAAGACATAATGAATACCAGTTTGTTCCTAAGACATAATGAATACCATTTTGTTCCTCGGAGCTAATGAATACCATTTTATAATTTGGAGCAAATGAATACCATTTGGTACTGGGAGCTAATGAATACAATTTTATACCTTGAAGCTAATGAATACCGTTTTGTACCTGGGAGCTAATGAATACCGTTTTGTACCTGGGAGCTAATGAATATAATTTTGTACCTGGGAGCTAATGAATACCATTTGGTACCTGGGATCTAATGAATACCATTTTGCACCTGGGAGCTAATGAATACCATTTTGTGCCTGGGATCTAATGAATACCGTTTGGTACCTGGGAGCTAATGAATACCATTTTGTACCTTGGAGCTAATGAATAACATTTTGTACTTGGGAGCTAAAGAATACCGCTTTGTACCTGGGGCTAATACCACCATTTTGTAACTGGGAGCTAATGAATACCATTTTGTAATTTGGAGCAAATGAATACCATTTGGTACCTGGGAGCTAATGAATACCGTTTTGTACCTGGGAGCTAATGAATATCATTTTGTACCTGGGAGCTAATGAATACCATTTTGTACCTTGGAGCTAATGAATAACATTTTGTACTTGGGAGCTAAAGAATACCGCTTTGTACCTGGGGCTAATACCACCATTTGGTACCTGGGAGCTAATGAATACCGTTTTGTACCTGGGAGCTAATGAATACCATTTGGTACCTGGGATCTAATGAATACGATTTTGTACCTAGGAGTTAATGAATACCATTTTGTACCTAGGAGTTAATGAATACCATTTGGTACCTGGGATCTAATGAATACCATTTTGTACATGGGAACTAATGAATACCATTTTGTACCTGGGAGCTAATGAATACCGTTTTGTTCCTGGCAGCTAATAAATATAAGTTTGTACCTGGGAGCTAATTCATATGATTTTGTACCTGGCAGCTAATGAATACGATTTCGTACCTGGGAGCTAATGAATACCATTTTGTACCTGGGAGCTAATGAATACCATTTTGTACCTGGGAGCTAATGATTACCATTTTGTACCTTGTAATTAATGAATACCATTTTATACCTGAGAACAGCGTTATCGGGTTGGTGGCTTCTTGTATACAGCATCGGATTCAGGGATGTAGCCTCGGTTGGGTAATATTGGCATGTATAGTTTCCTTTCCTGAAACTGTAGAAAGACATTTCCTTTTCCTCAAAAAAGGGTTTTAATCTAATTGAACCCCAGACATCCCCTATCCCTTCCCCAACTGTGATTTGTCGACAATATAAGCAAATGCAATTTCATTCACCTTGCTATTGTTTTGAGATATCCGTACCTCGAATTAAGTCGCGTGTCAAATGTGAACATACATCATGAGATGCATTTTTTTTTTATTGTGCACGGTTTTGTCTTTAACGGTCATGATGAATGGTTAACTGTTCAACAGTATGATGCATTGCTGTTAATGCGAAGAGGTGATAAACCCCAGCATACTATCTGCCGTGCTACCGCGAAAACTTTATTTGACGTAGGGATAGGAAAGCCGATAATATGATACAAGAAGTAGGAGAAAATGTGGAAGTTTGGTTTTCTAATCCACTATTGTCCGATTTATTTACTGTTTTTGTGTGCTGTTCAGGTTTTCACTCCTCGCACTATTTGAAATATTGTTCACACTATGACAATATGTAAGCGAATAAGTGTGTTCTTGTGATTTAGTACTCTCAAAATCAAATATTTCCACAACAAGACAAAGAATGGCGATAAAAAGAATAATAATTTACTGATAAATAAACAGGAAAATAAAAGTTGTTCGCTGATTGAATAGTTTTACGTAGGGATAGATATAGGATCTTACATGAGTTTCAATTTTATATGAGATTTATGAAACGAGTCTGAGAAGTTTTCAATTTAGCGAGCCTCTGGCGAGCTAAAATAAAAAAATTCGTGACGAGTTTCATAAAATTCATAGGAAATGAAAACGAATGTAAGATCTTTTTTATCACATTATCAAGATCTGTGCATTTATTCGTGTAAAACGACAATATTCATGCACCCATGGAATGTAAAAATCCGCCATTTTGACTCCAGTGCGTAAGTCTGTGACGTCATGTACTTGTCCTAGGCGTGACGTCGCAATTGAAACAATTGAAACTTACAACCAATCACAGGAGGGCTGATAGGTCATATTACATGGGTTAATACGCAAAAAAAGTATAACATGGGTTTATTCACTGGATAACACAGTCCATTGTACATTATGTGATAAAAACAAATATATCGTTACACTATTTTCAGTGTGGCCCCTCTGTTATATACCCTATATGGACCATCCTCTGGCTCGTGTACCGGGTGATCTGGATCATCTTGGATATTTATTGGGACGCAGAAGATGGTGATCTACCAGATTCGATGTGGCTGGTGTTCCTGACAAACTGGAGTTACCTTCTGTTACATATCGCCTCGACATGGGACTTCATTTCCACCCACGTGGTTAATCTATCACAGACTAACATTAAGAAAGGTACGTTTGGTCGCGTTATATAATATAGTGATAAACGATTGGAAAAGTGGAAAAATGCAGAAGCATGGGCAATATTAATAGCTTAATCAAGTAATTATATACACAATACTTGCCAACTGCCACAGACGTAAGTATGATATATTGTATTAGTTTTACTCTAAACTTTTGAGTAAAGGGAGAAACCGTGGTCTAAATCTTCATGGTTGTGACCTAGTGTTGTGTTTACTTTTACTTGTTAGGAGATAAAGACGGCGTTTAGTTCAGCGTATATGGTAAATGTATGTGATGATGGACTCGTGTGTTTATTTTTACGTTTCAGGAGAGGGATAGAGCTATTTTGCCTTGATTCCTGGTTACATTTATTTCTATTTCGGGAAATATTCCATGCCCTGGTATCTGATGTGTTACTTACATTGTTTTTACAACTTTTTCTCATGATATGTCTCTTTTCATGAGAGAAATTCCATGCCCTGGTATCTGATGGGTTACTTACATTGTTTTTATAACTTTTTCTCATGATATGTCTCTTTTCATGAGAGAAATTCCATGCCCTGGTATCTGGCAGTTCACTTACATTGTTTTTACACTTTTCTTCAGCAGAGTTTCTGGTGGTTTACTTAAAACGTTGTTTTATATCTTTGTTTCAGGGGAGAGATTTGCCATGCTTTTGTGTCTGGTGGTTAACGTATATTTATGTTTTTTACACCTTTCTCCGGGTGAGAGATATTCCATGCCCTGGTATCTGGTGGTTTACCAGTATTTATTTACACCTTTTTTCCCAGGAGAAGTATTCCATGCCCTTGTATCTGATGTGTTACTTACATTGTGTTTATAACTTTTTCTCATGATATATCTCGTTTCATGAGAGAGATTCCATGCCTTGCAATTGGTGTCTGGTGGGGACATAGGTTTTACACCTGTTTTTTCAGGGGAGAGAGATTTTATGCCCTGGTATCTGGTGGGTTACTAGTATTTTTTTCATACCTTTTTTTTATTAGGGGAGATATTCCATGCCCTGGTATCTGGTGGTTTCCTAACATTGTTTTACACCTGCTTTTTTGCAGGGGAGAGAGAGTCCATGCCCTGGTATCTGATGGTGGACTGGATACTGTTCAATACACTCAACGTCGTCGGATTTTTTGTTACCATCGTATACTATGGTGTTTTGACTACAGGTAATACTATAATTTATAGTTATTTGAGCAAGCAAAGAGGTGTATGGCGCGTGAGGAACGATGGACCCCTTTTTAGATCGCCGCATTGACACGGTTTAAAAATATACGATTAATGGCCAGGTATGTGCGTGCATTGGGTGACTACTTGCCTAAAAATAGGACATGTGGGCTTTCTGTTATGACAGGTTTGTTGGTCAATGCTTGTTTAATAATCATAAATGATATAATAATTATTGCAGAGAAATTGTGTACAAGGAATAAAATATAACACTTATCCAGTAAACACGAAGAACATTATTCCGTCTTTGCGTATTGCAGAGTTATCTTCTCTTGAGAACAGGTATTGATTGTTACGTCATTGGTTCGTGTGAGGAAATTACGTCGTTTTCTCAAACATTGATGACGTTACTCTCACAAACAAATGGCGTAACAATCAATACCTGCTCTCAAGAGAAGATAACCCTGCAATATGCAAAGACGGAATAGTTACTCATATTCATTTCATGGCCTTGTAAACACAGAAACATCTAGCTTTTTTAGGTATAATTGAAAGTAGTAAAATGTGGGTTTTTGTTGACAAAATGAGTCCAAAACACAAATTATGGGACCATCAACATTTCAATGTTTAGGTAATATCGCATATATGCTTGTACCACTTTTTGAAAATCGGATTTAAATTTTATTTGATGATAAATGTTTAAGATCAACCGTCCAAAAGTTGGTACCTGAATGCGCTGTGTGTCACAAATGCATTTAAAGTAGGGAAAATCCCCATGTATTATTGCATATTGTTCAAAAAAACAACTTTGACGGCATTTAAAAATAGATATTCGGCGCACATCCAGTATATTATTTGTTTAAAGGATTTAATATATTTAAATTTGCCGAAATAACAAAAAAATAGTATTCATGATTTTACAATTGGTCATATTTAGGTCGAAACAGGGACAAGTACGCCATACCTGTTTTCGTTTATTGTTGTAATCTTTCATTGTCTTACCTATATTTTTTTTTTGATAAATTCGATACAATTGAAATAGTAAATATATAATCAATATTTTGGTCATGAGTCATAGGCAGCTGATAACGAATCATGACAAAAAAGTCCAAGAGCTTGCGCCAACAACTCGGAATGATATATTTACGATAATTGCAGCCTCTCAATCGAAGTATTTTAATATACAGTTAGAGTATGGGGTTGAGGGATATAGCAAGTTTCTGGTGTCCCGAGACCAGGTCTATTTCCCGAGGCGAAGCCGAGGGAAATAGGCATGGTCAAGGGACACCAGAAACTTGCTATATATGCCTCAACCCCATACTTTAACCGTTTTATTATACCGATACACACTGGAGAGATAGTTTTAACTAGAAAATATTTGTAAACCATAAGCTGTATAGCTTCACGTCCCAAATACCCTTTTGATGGCAATGGAGCCAAATGCTTACGAGTTCGGCAGCAAGCTCCGCCCACCTCGCGCGTCACTGCCGAGTTCGGTAACAAGCTCCGCCCACCTCTCGCCTGATTGGCTCGGCGGAAACACCCGAGTGTAGGTGTGTTTTAGTTCACAGACTAACACACAGGACTAAAACACACTCAGGCAAAAGTGGGGATATATTCGATTTAACCAATTACTTTTATATAGAGTAAATAAAGTAGAGGTGTAATAATCCTCCGCAACACCTGGTCTTAATCTTCCTGGTGTCTCCATGTAGTTTTATCGATTTTGAGTTCGTAGTTTGGTTTTGTTGACACTTTGGTATTCTCTTGCTTCTGATGTCTACTAATCACTGTCTGAAAGTTTTACGTTTTGGTCATTTCAATCACGAACAAGTCATTGGCGGAGTCATTGATTCATTTGTGTTTCACGACCGGTTGTTCGTATTGAGAAAAAACCCAAAGCGGACCCTTTTCAGTGACACTCTATTAATACGGCTTACGATCAAAGAATTATATCACTGTTGCATTGGGCGATAAAGGAAGTGGATTTATTCGGGTTTTTTTTTTATTAATTTTTGATAACATTTTGTTCTTTTGTATGTGTTCATTTACATTTGCACTGATAATCTTTTATTCGTTCATTGATTTCAAATTTTTTCTGCATTCTTTCTTTCGTAATTTTTCGTTATTTACTTTTAATGTTTTCAATTGAGCACAACTCTCATTTGGAGTCGTGTAAGACAAACAATGAAAATAATTCATTAAAGTTTAATAATTTTTTGCTACTTTTAACTAAAAAAAAATCATGTTTATAAATGAATTTTTGCATAGGAAACTGATCATACTTGTTTCTGTTATATTTCAGTTGCAAGCCCGTCCAGCATAAACAAGCATGCCATGAACAGTGTATTCATTTTTATCAACTTTTTCCTCTGTGCAAAACCAGTCCGTATACTTCATTTCTACCAGCCGTTGACATTTATTCTTATGTTTGGAATATTCTCCTTGATCTACCAACTTTCGACCGGCTTTATCATCTACCCCTTCCTTGACTGGTACAACCCTGGGCCAACCGTAGGCTGGGTGCTTGGACTGGGCCTCGGCGTGATGCCTCTTGTCCACCTCTTCTTCTACGGTTTATATCACATAAGGACGTTGGTACATGAAAAGTGTTGTTTCAAGCCGAATCCGTCATCAGTCGAAACACGTAATACACATGACAATACTGTGGAAGAGAAAAATGTGTGATGAGCGGATTTGCATATGTAAATCACGTGTTAACTTGTAGTTAGAGGAGGAGGAGGAGGAGGAGGAGGAGGGTTAGAGTCTCGACAAAATATAAATTGTGAGGGTCATGAGCGGTGATGTAAATAGATCGTAATGGTAAAAGGTCATGAGAGTGGATCATAAGAGAAACGGAACGTGCAGGAAATGAGTGGTGACAGGCATTATTCGTGACAGAAATAAGTCGTTAGGGAAAGTGGGTATGGTGGGAAGTTGGTAGTGAGGGATGTGAGCTATGAGGTAATGTGATAATAATTTGGGTGGATTTAGAGAGGACTTGGTCACAAGGCCTGAAGTGGCTCGTGAGGGTATTAGGTCATCGGGAGTCGTAAGGTGAGTGATTGGTGTTAGGTCTGAGGAGAGCGTTATTGGAATGTGTAATAAGAAAAGTGGTTTGTAAGAGAAGGGTTCGAGAGTGTAGGCGATCGTTAGGAGAGTAAGTGTTGAGTGTAGGCCTAGTTAGAAGGTCGTTAGATAGTGGCTCATTAGGTAATTGGGTCGGGAAGAGAGATGGTCCTGAGGGAGGTGGGTCAGAAGTGGAGTGGGTCGTATTTATTTTGAATTTCTGTACTCATTATCATATTTGTATATGTATCGTGCTGATCATTGATTCAATAACGTATTGATGTGTTTGCAAAGACGCTTCCTATTTAGAAGCAATGAAATCTTCACTGATATTGATGATTAGACCAACATGGGATATTTCAAGGGTATCATGGAAACTGTCTGGTTACGTGATTTACAAGACCGGTGCCAATGTAAATGACAGAGATCTTATTGACGTAAGATAGTTATTCAGTAGCTATTAGGTTATATCTGTCAACGTTTCCGTTTTTGTTTCATCAACGGTTCAGACATTGTACATTTAGATATACTGGAACCGGTGATAAAAATATCTTTTGTTTCGTTAATTGCTATCATTTCAAGTCTTTTATTGAAATATACATTTTATACAAAGAACAAATTGTTTGTTATTGTACAATTCATACATAAAACATTGCAGGAAATTCATAATTCAACTACGTCATCCGCTTCGACCAATGGACAAACATAGTACAGTTGCGATGTGGATGACGTGATGGTTAATGACACCGTAAATTTATAATTTGAATAGTTAAAGTCGTCCAATGCCCTCCGGTTTATCAATTTTTTCCCTTTGTTCCTATTACGTTAATTGAAAATATACAAAAAAAAAGTTCTATGTACGTGTATGTGATGCATGAATTCCTGCCAATAATTGTATAACTAACTAACTGTTAATAAAACATTATAAAGACATATGACTGTATTACAAGACTGCCCCTCTCATCAACGTTCATTTAAATCCGTTTCATAGAAAGCAGTTTTACACTCATATGTTTTAACTAATTCTAGAATGATATAAAGACGAAGAAATGGAGTTTCAACAATAGGTGTACTAGTATGACGAAGGTCGTGGATATGTTTATTGAATTTGTGAAGGTTATAACGTTTAACATAGCTAAACACGCTAACAACACTACGTTTGACGAAAATATTAAAATCATCAATTTTAATTTTACAAAGAGATCCTTGAAAATGAACACGTCTTTTATATACAATCTTTTTTAACTTCATGATTAACTGCTTTCCTTAATTTACTTACAACATTAACAGGGTCGGCCTTTCTCTGAACTATATGATAGGCGGACTTATTTTGCCTTTCCGATCGTGAACTTTTGCTTTCTTGATAGCAACATCCCTGTTTCTTGTACCTACGGTGTTTACACGTAGCAGCAGTTGATCGGTACTTAAGAACTTGTTCCGAATATCATGACTTTCCATGTTAAATGTTGACTGCTGACGGAACAAATTTACAACACAGGGTTTTCAAAAACGCAAGTAAAGAAGACTATGGACAGGGTTTATGGTCGCCATTACGATCTTATTTTGAAAAATGTTTCCTTATGTGATACGAATATTGGCACATGCCGTCAATGAAACAGAAGACCCTTTCCCTTAAAAAAAAGCTGATATTCTCCTTGTCCGTTTTCAATTTACAATTAATTAATATGAGTTCTGCAATTTATTTAGGCCGGACAGTGCAGATTTGACTGTATCAAAAGTTAAAATCTCAATATGGAAGGTAGATGCAACTATAAGCACATTTTTATATTGCTCCACATAATTCTGGTTCAATCAAGTGATAATTAAAGAACAATATCTGTAGATTTGTCAACCCGCTTCTGTTCTGGTGCACATTTCACAACAGTTACTGATATGTATTGTCCGCAATTCCCTTTTTGTTTTGAGAAATATGATTTAACACTTTATAACAATCTACAACTATTTAATATATTCAAGTTTTGGGTACTTAAGTACTCATTTTTCACTCTTTCATTACTTTGAGGTAACTACCACCAAGTAACGAACCCTAGATCACTGAACACCTACAAAGTGATAAGTACTAAATACCTCCCATATGTGTCTACATCAGTGCCATCTAGTCTATGGGAATGCCACAAAAGAGACTAAATCTGTATAACCAGGAGGAAAAAACACACCAAATAAACCTGCAGTTCACACCAATTATTTTTTTCAGTATCCATGCAACCATTTCAATAATTGATTTTATATCGAAAATTATTTTAAAACACTGAAGAACCACTTGTATGTGAGTAATAAGAGGATACTTAGCACTCTCCATACAGAACCAGCAAAATCTTAGATTTGAGGTGATTATATTCAATAGCTATATAGGTAATTCAGTGTTTTCAGTGTTGTGTTAGTTTGCTTATCTGGTCCAAAGGAAAGACCTGTGAGCTAAATATGCTGTGGCATCCGTCTGACTGTCCATCAACAATTTCTTCCAATTCCTTTCTAGAACATTTCAACAAGTATTCGAAGGTGGTGAGGATTCACATAAAAATGGAACAAATAGTGCAGCCAAACACTCAGGGGATGGAGTGTAGAGGATTGTATGTTATGATTAGTTTCTCTACGTAATTCATGCTAATTATCATTGTGCAATTTACCACTACTTTGTGTGTCTTTTCAGACCGTGTTCATTGCTGAATAAACATATTTAAAGTAAACGGAACAGAGTCCCATTTATGAACACGGTCGGAATACTGAACCCCATCATTGCCACATCACCACAATGCCAGCTGTAGCCTGCCCTATCACAGACTGCGACTATGTCACGGATGACCTGGATGCCACTATCGTCGCGGCACTCATCACGGCTCACTCCGCTGTACACATACCCAAACGAGAACACGCTGCTAAAGTTGAGAAAGTTAAGCGACCCACGCTCAGTGCCGCAGGATCTAGCGAGGAGTCGGCATATTTCCAATCTCGGTGGTCGGACTATGTCAGTGCCACGAAAATCACTGGACGCGATAAAGTAATCCAGCTACTGGAATGCTGTGACGAGCCATTACGGAAAGACTTGACTCGATCAGCCGGTGGCAGCCTCGCTGACAAAACCATAGATGAGGTTTTAGCTGCAATTAAAAAGCTCGCAGTACGTGAGGAAAACACTATGGTTGCAAGAGTGACGCTACACAATATGCGACAGGATCGTGATGAAACTGTCCGGAGTTACGGTGCTAGACTTAAAGGACAGGCCGGTATATGCAAGTTTGTGATTAAGTGCCCCGGATGTACAGCCGACGTCAATTACACTGACGCTATCATGCGTGACGTACTCACCCGGGGAATTGCCGATCCGGAAATACAACTTGATCTGCTAGGACACAAAAATCAGGACATGAATCTTGAGGATGTATTTCAATTTGTCGAATCAAAGGAAGCCGGTAAACGTTAGCTTCTAGACTTTCAGATTCGCATCCAGTTGAGGCTGCCAGCAGCTCATACCGGAAAAGCAAGACTGACAGACCGTTGTCCAAAGACCCCTCCAACAAAGCAGAGCAATGTGCATATTGCTGAAAAAAGGGACACGACAAGTCTGCCCTTGCTCGCATACAGCATATTGACACATATGTGGGCATTGCCATCGCAAACATCATTTTGAAATTGTATGTAGAAGCAAGGACAAACCTAAAGTGACAGACCGTGATACACTTTCCGGAAGTGATTTGTTCGACGCATTGTGCTCTGTTCATGATTCCCTACAACATCACCACTGTACCGTTAGTGATTCTGGCATCGAACGCTCAATCTGCATCGACCACCATGTCTATGACGAACTGAGGAATTCCTGGGTGAAACAACGCTCCAAGCCTCAACCATTCGTGAACGTGACGGCTAAAGTTACTGCTGAGGACTACGCCGCCCTAGGCTTCAGACTAACACGAGACACCAGCAACGTCTCAATACAGGCTATGGCTGACACGGGATGTCAGAGTTGCCTCGCTGGCTTGAAAGTAATCCGCCGCCTTGGTCTACGAGAATCAGAACTCATACCTGTAACGATGCAGATGCACACGGCTACATACGGTGGTATCAAAATTCTTGGGGCGACCATCCTTCGCTTGATTGGTAAAGACAAGGCAGGAAACACCAAGGAGACCAGACAGATGACATATGTCACAAGCTCAACAGACAAGCTCTTCCTCAGTCGCGAAGCCTGCGCTGCATTAGGTATTATCCACGATTCATTTCCAACCGTCGGAGCTCAAGTCCCTTCAGCTAGCATACATGTCGATGCTACTTTCTCCTTACCGGATCACCAAGTCAAAGCATGCGATTGTCCTACACGCCAACTGCCACCACCGCCTCCGACAAAACTGCCTTTCCCTGCTACAACGGAAAACGTTGGTCACTTAAAAGGTTACCTTCTTGACCACTACAAGTCTAGCACATTCAACACATGTGAACACCAGACTTTACCACTCATGAATGGACCTCCCTTGAAGCTCATGGTGGACTCCAACGCGAAACCTGTCGCTCACCATACACCAGTACCCGTTCCAATCCACTGGCAGGGTGCAGTAAAGGCTGGACTAGACCAGGATGTTCGTTTGGGGGTTATTGAACCTGTTCCGGTTGGTGAGCCTGTCACTTGGTGCCATAGAATGGTTATTTGTGCGAAAAAGAATGGTACACCTCGGCGCACTGTTGACTTCCAACCCTTAAATGCACATGCCACTCGCGAGACTCATCACACCCCTTCGCCATTCCACCAAGCCCGGTCTATTCCACATGGAAAGAAGAAGACATTATTTGATGCATGGAACGGTTATCACAGTGTACCCATCTGCAAAGAGGACAGACACTTGACCACGTTCATTACTCCTTGGGGGAGGTACCGTTACAAAACTGCACCCCAAGGCTACATTGCATCGGGCGACGGATACACCAGGCGCTATGACGAGCTTGTTTCGGACATCCCCAACAAAACCAAATGTGTCGACGATGTTCTTTTATGGTCAGACACTGTTGAAGAAAGCTTCTTTCAGGCAGTCCAGTGGCTTGACATATGCGGCCGTAACGGTATAACGCTGAACCCTGACAAATTTGTATTTGCAGAGGACACACTCGAATTCGCTGGGTTTGAAATAACCAACGATAGTGTACGGCCTTCACAGAAATACCTACGCGCCATCCTGGATTTTCCGACACCCAGGAACATCACAGATGTGCGGTCATGGTTTGGACTAGTCAATCAGGTGTCATATGCCTTCAGTATGACTGAGAATATGCTTCCTTTCCGTCAGTTGCTCAAACCAGATCAACCGTTTCAGTGGACTGAAGATCTCCAACGACTTTTTGAGGAATCTAAAATTGTCATTGCCAACGAGATTGAGCAGGGTGTACGGATTTTCGACCCAAGTAAATTGACGTGTCTTGCGACAGACTGGTCAAAGACTGGCATTGGATTTTGGTTGCTACAGAAACACTGCGCTTGTGCTAATGAAAGCCTGCTATGCTGCCGTGATGGTTGGAAAGTTACACTCGTAGGTAGTCGGTTCACACATGCGGCAGAGACGCGTTACGCGCCGGTTGAGGGCGAGGCCCTAGCAGTAGCAGATGCCCTTGATAAAGCTCGCCACTTCGTTCTTGGGTGCGACAACTTGATCATAGCTGTTGATCATAAGCCATTGTTGAAGTTATTTGGCGATAGATCACTGGAAAACATTCCTAACAACAGACTTCGTAACCTCAAGGAGAAAACACTACGATACCGCTTTCGAATGCTTCATGTGCCTGGCATACGACATCGTGCTGCGGATTGTATCTCCCGACATCCTATTGGTGAGCCTGAGAAACTTGTGCTCGAGGACGACATTGCAGCACTGTCATTTTCTGCCGTCGACATCGCCCACTTTGGTCTAATGAGTGGTCTACGCATGCCTTCATCAGGACTAGCATTTGTCGAGGAGCATGTCGTGGCATCAGCTTCTTCAACACTAGATGCGATCAATTTACGATCCGTCACCTGGGAGCGCGTTAGAACCACTACTACCAGCGATGACAACATGCAGGCGTTAATCGCTCTGATAGAGGCCGGTATACCGGGAACCCGTCACGAGCTGCCTAGGCCACTGCAAGAATATTTCCCATTCCGCGACGACCTTCATACGGTTGATGGTGTAGTACTTTATAAAGACAGAATAGTCATTCCACCATCACCCCGGGAAGAAACCCTTGCCTCCCTGCATTCGGCACATCAAGGGGTGACATCTATGACTTCGAGAGCTGACGCGTCAATCTTCTGGCCTGGTATCACGCCTGCCATCGCCTCCCTACGCGCAACTTGTAACCACTGCAACCGTATTGCTCCATCTAACCCGAATGCACCACCGACTCCTTTGATAATTCCTGAATATCCATTCCAATGCGTGTGTGCATATTTCTTCCACTGCATGGGCTGTAATTACCTAGTGGTAGTTGATCGTTATTCCAACTGGCCGGTGGTGGAGAAAGCCTCTGATGGTTCCAATTGTTTAATAGACTGTCTCCGAAGGACATTTGTTACTTTTGGTATCCCTAATGAACTAGCATCAGATGGTGGACCCGAGTTCACTTCTGCGGCCACACGTCGTTTTCTCAGGAACTGGGGCGTTCACCATAGACTGTCATCTGTAGCTTTTCCCCATAGTAACTGCCGTGCTGAAGTGGGAGTCAAAACAGTGAAGCGTCTGATCACTGGCAACACCAGTCCCAATGGCGACTTAAACACCGACGCATTCCAACGCGCTATTCTCCAGTATCGTAACACACCTGACAGAGACACAAAACTATCCCCTGCTATGTGCGTGTTCGGTCGTCCTATACGAGACTTTATTCCTATACCACCCGGTCGGTACATTCCACACAACACTTGGCTGGAGACTTTAGCAGCTCGCGAGGAGGCTTTACGGAATCGTCACATGCGAGAAAGTGAACGTTGGTCTGAACACACCAAACGCCTCTCACCTCTTGCAGTTGGAGATCATGTACGCATCCAAAATCAAGTTGGTCCTCACCCCCTTAAATGGGACAAGACTGGAATCATTACCGAAGTTCGCCAGTTTGATCAATATGTAGTTCGGGTTGACGGATCTGGCCGTGTTACCTTACGCAACAGGAAATTCCTAAGGAAGTATATCCCAGTCGTTACACCACCAGCGCGCTACACAATTGACAATCAAATTGGACTCTCCCATCGTACGACGTCTCCTACTTCTAACGCCCCAGACACCGTCGTCGGTGAAGAGAGNGCGACGACCTTCATACGGTTGATGGTGTAGTACTTTATAAAGACAGAATAGTCATTCCACCATCACCCCGGGAAGAAACCCTTGCCTCCCTGCATTCGGCACATCAAGGGGTGACATCTATGACTTCGAGAGCTGACGCGTCAATCTTCTGGCCTGGTATCACGCCTGCCATCGCCTCCCTACGCGCAACTTGTAACCACTGCAACCGTATTGCTCCATCTAACCCGAATGCACCACCGACTCCTTTGATAATTCCTGAATATCCATTCCAATGCGTGTGTGCATATTTCTTCCACTGCATGGGCTGTAATTACCTAGTGGTAGTTGATCGTTATTCCAACTGGCCGGTGGTGGAGAAAGCCTCTGATGGTTCCAATTGTTTAATAGACTGTCTCCGAAGGACATTTGTTACTTTTGGTATCCCTAATGAACTAGCATCAGATGGTGGACCCGAGTTCACTTCTGCGGCCACACGTCGTTTTCTCAGGAACTGGGGCGTTCACCATAGACTGTCATCTGTAGCTTTTCCCCATAGTAACTGCCGTGCTGAAGTGGGAGTCAAAACAGTGAAGCGTCTGATCACTGGCAACACCAGTCCCAATGGCGACTTAAACACCGACGCATTCCAAGGTGGCAGTGTACATATCGTACTAGTCATCGAAACGTCACATAGAAAATTGTATTGGTTGTGTAAACAGAACTTCTCTTAATTAACCAAATTTGTTATAGAGCATCTTTGGACAAAGGGGACTCAAGTTTGCATAAACAGAGGGTGTTAAGTTTTTTATATACTTTTGACAAACAATTGGCAATATGAAATTCTACAAACCTTCTTTTATTAGTGCCCTATACTAATATCAGTGTCTGTCTGTCTGTCCGTGAGCACTTTTGTTTCCGGAGATTATCTCGAGACTCCAAAAGGCCGAAATTTCTAAAATTTCACATAGTGATACAGTGTGATATATATAGATGTGCAAAGGGCCAGGAGTTTCACAATTGTATCAGGTCAAAGTCGAGGTCTCTGTTACTTAAAATTGAAAAGTGGGGCTATACCGTCAAAAACATATTACATGACCCTCAAAAGGCCAGTTGTTGGTAAACATTTTGTTATGACATAATGAAGCAAAGTTGGTCATAACCAACAAGACGTCAAGTTACCAAAGGTCAAGGTAATTTAGTCAAAGGTTACCAAATTATGTTTATCTTAACAAAGTTGGTCAGAATTAATTCGGGATCTGCGTATGCAATTAGTAAACATGATGTCCATCTGTCTATCTATTCTCTGTCCATCTGTTTGTCTGTTACCACTTATCTCAGGAACCAGAAGTTCAAACTGAAATTTCACATGGTTATACATTGTGATACAGATATGCTATAGTTTTTTTTAAACCCTTATGTCAATGCAAGGACTAATACTAAATTAGAAAAGGCTATGGCCGTGTTTACAATTTTCACAATTTTTCGGATAAAATACCTGGGGGGAGAAGAGCAGAAAGGAGCAGAAAGCAAAAAAGAATAATTACATATATATAATCTAGTGTTTCACTAGGCATATTTCTTTCATGTGGAGTCTTTTCTAGAAAAAAATAGCTAGAGGTAATACATCTGAGTTCCAACTTGATGAAGTAGACAACAATGGTGCAGTCACTTGGTCTGGCAGGCCTAAAGTACGCCTGGCCCGACGACGAAAAGAGAGAAATATCTATTAATGTATTCCTTTAAGGTCATTAAACTCACTTCCTTATGGAACGCCAAATTAACATATATTCAATTATTTGTAATTGTACCAGCCAAACATTATAGTTTTATTCTTTGAGATTATTCAGAGGAAGTCGTTAAAAGAGTTTGACATATTTGACCCCTGTGACCTTGAAAGTAGGTCAATGTCATTTTCCTTCTCAAACTTTGTCAGGCTCAATCCCAATAAGCTACTAGTATAGCAAATATGAAGATTTATGCCCTTCAGTTCTTTAGAAGAAGTCGTTTGAGGCGTTTGACATATTTGTCCCCTGTGAACTTGAAAGTAGGTTGAGGTCATTCTCATTCTCAAATTTTCTCGGGCTCTACTATTTCACTTTCATAGATATGTCGGAACTTCACACGATGATATTTTACCTTTACAGATCTGTCGGAAATTTCCCTTTCACATGTCTGTCTATACTTTACATCCTACTATTTCACTTTCACAGATATGTTGAAACTTAACATGATGATATTTTACCTGCACAGATCTGTCGGTAATTTCACTTTCACATATCTGTCTATACTTTACATCCTACTATTTCACTTTCACAGATATGTTGAAACTTAACATAATGATATTTTACCTTCACAGATCCGTTGGAACTTTACATGCTGATCTTGGTTTGTCGTACAACCAGTTATGAATGTTTGAATACAGCCGTTGATAATGATTAGACAGATGAAGTCGTTTACATAATAAACACCAACTACTGTGCATTGTTCCAGAGCTAGCATAATAAGTCTTTTTCCATGAAAACATACTTTCTTTGCTTTGATTGCTGTTGTTAATCGCTATTCCTAGTTTGTCAACGGTTTTGAAGTTCTTTGTATTGAGATACGAACCTGGTGGGAAAAACAGGGAATAGTTCAGCCCACCTCGCATCACTGGAATTGTCGAAGGCGAGTGAACATAGGTTTTAAATCCTTTTTCAGTAACATAATCGACACAAAGAGAATTTTCAAATGCCAAATAATATTTGTAATGTTCTTGAAGGAGTTTGAAACAGTAGTTTTTATGAGATCTGTCACATCTGTATGTGCCGCATTCACCGTACACGTGAATATCGATGGAATTCTGCAAACGCTTTGCATAGCGATCCCGCTTACTGTGAGCACCACAATGCGATACCATCCAGGCAGACATCCTATCTTTAGCTTTCCACTTCTTAACTATGTTGGACAATGTGATGTTTTTAGGATTGACATGAAAAACAGACTGTGTTCTGGTAATATCGGAATCTCGTCTGTACGTAAAAGTCCAATTAAACAGATTATTCCATTGTAATAAATCATTGATATAGTAAATCGGTGATTCAAAGCCTTGCATTATCCAAATCTGACCACGTGGCTTTGTTGGTGGTGGTGGTGTTTTCTGAATTGTGGGACCATGAAAAATCACTGCCTTTGCAGAAGCGTAGTTTACAGAACCCGCTTTCATTTCACATTTATATTCACAACCTACAAAGCTCTGTAAATTGATAAACTTTGGTTTATTGTAATATTGAACTAGGATTGTTTCTGGTTTTGATTTCACTCTGAATGATGGTGGAACAGTGTTGACGCGGTATCGAGGCATCACTTGGTTTTGTATCATGGTTATGGTCGAAATGATCAGCATGAAAAGCGCCGTCGTCATTATCAGTCCCCTCAGGACATATCTTGATTGTTCACTATTGAAACAGACAAAAAAAATCATAAATCAATATTATATGCGTAAACAAAAACCTCAATCAATGAATAATTCGATAAATATATAATAATACAGAAAAAATAAGATTAACGACTGACTAAAAAACTATCTGCTTTCACCCTTCACAAGGCTCTTCAGGTTTATTCGATGATAGGGCTTAATATATTTGATTTTCAGATCGTTAGGCAAGTGTTTTCTTTTTGTATTAATCGATATTCGTCCTCGATGTCATTAAGACACACTGCTAATTAAAGACATTTAGATAAAGATTAAAGTTGATGTAATAATGCACTGCCATCTTTACGAATTGTTAATGGAACACATAGAAATGATCAGAAGTGTGCTGTTGCGTTTTTATTAGCTGAGATTCCAGCCTGATAGACATTAAAAAAGATTTTGATAATATCCTCATTTTCTGAGAGAGGTTTATTGTATTGTATTAATGATAAATGGGATGACGATCACACAGAGGGTGTTTTGTAACTGTTAGAGTTATGACATGCATATACAAGAAGGTATTAATTATTATAATCAATGTGATGATAAACAAATATTTTGAATGGATTGTTACTGACTAAAATGCTGTCACTTCATCCTCGATATCCCAGTGATGACGCTCACGTACGATTTCATTTCACAAATTTTGTATTGCATATTGCATCTTATAACAAGTTCAAAAGGAATTGGGCAACAGACGTAATGCCTATACAAGCCCTCTCCTATGGTATGGACAATGTATATTATAATATATTTATTGTGAAATAATTTTAAAGTTTTTATTACATCTAGGACAGAAGTCATCGACCAGAGCTCCCACTGAGTGACTTGTTAATTTAAGTTATTTTAGTCATATATGCGTTATGGGAGTTATCTCCCCTATGCCACAGAGGTGGATTCTGATACAGATCAGTAAAGAATATCTGTTACCTTGATTATCATTAAATAATGGTTCGGGCAGACGACCATTCCGTCTTTTCGTATTGCAGAGTTATCTGCTCTTGTGAGCAGGTATTGATTGTTACGTCATTTGTTTGCACAGCAATCCTATGAAGCATTGCAAGAAACTGTCAGCGAACTGAAACTAAAGCAGACCGAGGATGGGACGGAAATAAATTCCTTGAAAACTGAAAATGGGAGGATCCGAAAGAAAAGCTGTTCAACGATCAAATGTATTGAGGATGAACTACGTGAAAACAAACGACAAGTGGAACAAACGATGAAACAGATGGTAAAGATGAAAATGGATATTAAGGAGACGGTAGAAGCCACAACAGACTTTATGAACATGGCAAAAAGATACGATAACGAACAATTGAATGGTGTTGAAAATGTTAAAAAGACAATGAAACTGGTATCAGACCGCGTGACTAACTACACAAAATGTTACGAATCAGATCTGAGTGAGACAAACGAATCAATAAAGACATGTGCAGCATCGGTAGTTGGTATAAAGAAACAAGTTGACAAATTAAGGAAGGACATACAAAGAAAGAGTGAACACAACATGACCAACAGGAGTGTGGATTTTATCGAGGAGAGTCAGACAGAACCAGCCGTAAAGAAGTTTAACAGATTCAATGTGTTGAGTGCATCATCGAACAATCAGGTAAACAAGGTGGATAACTTGGAAAGCACAAAAACAGCGAATTATTTCACAGACACGTTAGATCCTAAAACCGATCGGAACGCTAGAGGACTCTGCCAAGGAAACGACACGCGACAAAAAACTTGGAGCGAAATGTTACAATCGGAGTCTCTGAATGAGAAGCGTTCCGTGGATACTGAGAATCCATCTTATATATCAGCTGAAACGACAACTCAACATCCGATAAAGGTCCATTTCCCAACATCTGTGTGTAATCCGATGGCAAAGCGATTTGTGGGATTCCAGCAGCAACAAAGAAGGAGAATCAGGCGATTCTACGTACATGGAATAAACCGACAAATATCCTCAGAAGCTGCCATGCGAAGCTATCTTGAGGAAGCTAATGTGCGCGTTACTTTGTTAAGGTATTTTGAGAAACGATGGAAGAACACGGCATCAGCGCAATTGAACATAGTAGCGGAGGACGCAGATATTATCAGCGATGATTCGTTCTGGCCCGAAGGGATCCGAATGAGGGAATGGCAGCCACGCGAAATTTTCTTGAGTGAGCACAGATATGTCTGAAATTGTTAATGCGATGTGTTGGAACATTGAAGGCATCATGTCAGGGACACCATATCTAATAGACTGCCTTCAGAAATATGATATTAATGTTTGTGGTATATCTGAGCACTGGTTACGCGAATTTAATATGTCATTTATGGACACATTTAAATCTATTGGGTACAGATGTATAGCTAAACCAGTTTTTGAATTAGACCCTTTTAAGTACAAATGTAGCATTAGAGGAGGAGTTGCTCTGCTGTATAAAGAATCCTCCTTCAGAGTCCAAGAGATCGAGGTTGACAGCCCGAGAATAGTAGGGGCTGAGATAACTATATCTGATGACTTAATTCTGTATTGCTTTGTTGCATACATGCCTGCTTCTTCGAGAACTATAGAGTTATTCATAGAACACGTTGAGCTTCTAGAAGGTCTGTATTCTGTTTACTCCGAAAAGGGGAAGGTGATGTTCATAGGGGACATGAACGTTAAAATTCAAGGTACTAGGTGTAGCATAATTGAAAATGAAAGATCGAACATTTTTCAAAAGTTTTTAAACCGATGTAATTTAATATCGGTGAACGTACAGGATAAGTGTCTTGGGCCTCATAGTACTTTTTTCCCTCAGACTGGCAAATCAACACTTATTGACCACATAATTATCGAATCAAGTATGTTTGATTTAGTAGAAAGTGTGTCTATTTTGAAAGAAAATGATTTGAATTTGTCAGAACATGTCCCAGTGATAAGTTCAATACTGATATCAGCCAATGTAACATTTAATTATAAACGTCCTGATAAACATACACGGTTTAATTGGAAGAAAGCAGACCCTAATGCTTACAGAGCAGCTTTAAATAAGAATTTGTCTCATATCAATGTTACAGAAACTGAGAATAGTGAACAGGAATTGAGTCTAAGCAAGGAATACATAGAAAAATATCATTGTGAAATTGTCTCTGCAATAGGTAATGCTTCTTTAGAATCTATACCGACTGTAAGGTACAAGCATTACCTAAAACCATATTGGAATGACCAGTTATCTGTTTATCATTGTAATATGAGATTAAGCAGACAAAAATGGGTCGGTGAAGGTAAACCAAGAGGTGGGAACTCGGAAAGTTTTAAAGAGTACAAATTGATGAAGAAAGAATTCAGGAGAAATCTTAGACAAGCTTTTGATAAGTATATGTCTGACCAGTTATCAGAGATTGATCAATCAAACGAAATAGATCAAAAACTGTTTTGGTATCTATTTAGAAACAAATCCATGAAACAGCGACCTTCTCAAACAGAATTTACATGTGACGGTCAAACGTTTAGAGACCCAAAAATTATTGTAAACAAATGGGCATCTCACTTCGAAAACATTTTCAAGAATGACTGCAATAGTTTATTTGATGAAGATTTCAAACATGACGTTTCGAGTAAAGTAAGAGATATAGATGTCCAAATCTGCGAAGAGGACAAGTTTTTGAAGAAATCTGTTACTGTATCTGAAATCGAAAATATATGTAAAAAGTTGAAAACAAATAAGGCAGGAGGTCTAGACAATCTTGTTTATGAACATTTGAAATTTGGAAACTCGTTGCTATATGTCCACCTATCAAAATTGTTTAATGCCGTAATTAAGTGTCAATATATACCAAAAGAGTGGAAAATGGGAACAATAATTACTTTGCACAAAGGAAACGCAAAACCTAAAGATGACCCTAATAGTTATAGGGGAATTACTTTGTTACCAGTCATTTTTAAAGTTTTTGAAATGATTTTAGCTAAAAGATTAGATTCAGTTCTTAATTGTAACAACTTTCCGAATAAGCAACAGTCAGCATATCAAAAAGGACTATGCAGTTTGTTAACTGCATTTAATCTGCAAGAATGTATACATTATAATTTAGAAAGAGAAGAAGATGTTTATGTGGCCTTTTTAGATAGTAACAAGGCATTTGACACCGTATGGCATGATGGTTTGTTGTATAAGCTAAATGAGATCGGTATCACTTCAAAGACATGGCATATTTTGAAATCAATATACACAGATATAAGAAGTAGTGTTATATTTAATGGTTTAAGTTCAAGATGGATCCGTATGGAGAGGGGGATTTTACAGGGGAGTGCGTTGTCTGCCAAAATGTATCTTGTATTCATAAACAGTTTATTAGACAGTATTGAAAAATGTGGGAAGGGTGCACTTATTGCCGATTTAAGAATTAATATACCAACACAAGCAGATGATATATGTCTGGTTAGTACACAGCGTAAAAGCTTACAATACATGCTCGAGATGTGCGAAGCGTATAGCAGAAAGTGGCGTTTCACATTTTCTGCAGTTAAAAGTAAAATAGTGTATTTCTCTAGAAAAAAGAAGCGAAATCTTAGTACGAAATTATATCTATATGGGCATCTTCTTCCAGAAGTTGAGGATATAACACATGTTGGCGTGATGTTGAACTATAATTTTAATAGTATGGAACGTACAGTACGCGCATGTAATAAGCTTAAGAGTGGTGTCATGAGTTTAATTAAAAGTGGTGCTCATCCATGTGCATTAAATCCTTTAACGATTAGTAAAATACTGAAATCAAAAGTATATGCTTCAGCCCTATATGGGTGTGAATTATGGTGTCTTCAAAAAACCGAAATTTTAATGTTAGAAAGAGCACAACGTTTCATTTTAAAGTCAATTCAGGGGTTCCATACAAGAACCCGTACAGATATGTGCACAGGCCTTCTGGGTTGGTTAAGTTTAGAAGCATACATAGATACCAAGAAATTATTATTGTTTGGAAGATTATGC